GAGGTCAGGATCCCGTGGTTCGTCACTCCCTCAGTATTTAATGACTTCAAACCCTCTCTGACTGTGCGTGTGTGTTTATTCTTTGAACTTTGTATACATTATGTACACTTCATAATATATTATATGAATAATAATGTTGAGGGGGGGGGAGAGAGAGAGGGAGAGAGAGAGAGGGGGAGAGAGGGAGAGAGAGAGGGAGAGGGAGAGAGAGAGAGAGGGTGATGGAGGGAGAGGGGGAGGGGGAGGGGGGAGAGAGAGATTGATTTTTGATTGATTGATCTTTATTACCTTTCTCAGCTATTTGTAATACAAATCTAGTTTAATACACTCCTTTAACATTCGCTTAAACGGCACAATTCTTTCATTCCGCTTTATTTCAGCAGGCAAGGCGTTATACATTTTTACTCCTTCGTAAAACATACTCTTTTGCGCTGTTGTGTCTCTAGCCGCTAAGAAAGAGGTCTTTAGGGATTTATACGCCCAAAGGATTAGGATCTATACTCCGTCTAGCGAGAGAATGACCTCGGGTCAGACAAAAACTCGTCCGTTTCGCGCAGGTCTCCACCCATAGAAGCCGTATCTACGTATACGATATTGAGTACCTCGCTATGTTCTCCCCACTTTGCCCGCCTATGCGCAGGCCGAGGTCATTCTCTCGCTGGACGGAGTATACGCTCGAAATAAGACACTCCCGGACGTTAGGTATAAATTGATATATTTCACAGATTCTTGTACACTTTCACTTAGTCGCGATTATAATAGTCGGGCGCGATACGTACGGTACTTCGATACTATTGATATATGCAAGCGAGTAGTGAGCGAGTAGTGAGCGTCGGTGCATCTCGCGCTTAATATATATCTTAATTAATTAGGTCGTTGATTAGGGAGGAGTGTGGTGTCCCTGACCGGAGCATGTCTCGTGCTCCGCTCGTCAGCTGTCTCGTCAGCTGCTTACTCAGCTTCCGAGAACTTCACTCCTTGTTCTGCGATATTTTATTCCAATATCCCCAGCTTGTCGTGTTTGCCTTTCACTCTCATTTCCCACAATTTCTAATCTATTTCTTAATTGCTCCGGTAACATGTTTCTTAAAATCTTAAAAATAAATATACACACATTATAATATAGCCTCTGTTTTATGGACATAAACTGCAGCGCTTGCAGCATACGCTCCACTTTGGTATGTCTATCACATTGCAATATGATCCTCATGGCCCGGTTTTGTGCTTTTTGCAATTTACTCAGCTGTGTTTCTCCCATATCAATTAACAGCGTCGCACAATACTCAAAGTGAGGTGCTATAATTGTCTTATATACAATACATCTAGTGTATGCCGATATATAATTACCTATTCTATTCAAAAAACTCGTTTTTTTCCCTATTTTCTTTAGCATATAATCACAGTGGTCCTTAAATCGTAGTCTATGGTTAATAATTATGCCTAGGTATTTTATTATTTCCACACGTTCAATCTCAGTTCCTTCCAAACATTTCAATGTTATATTACCTCGCAGTTCTTTTCTTATACTTCTAACAATTATATATTTTGTTTTTCCTGCATTCATTTTTAACTTATTTATATTCATCCACTCTTCTACTATAGTAAACGCCATATTCATTTTGCTCTCTAATTCCGCGCTGCTTTCTCCAGTTACATATATTAACGTATCATCTGTAAATATTTTTAACTACTAATTCTAACACTTTTTCAAATATTGGTAACATATTTACTGGCCTAAATTCACTTGCTTTTCTAGCTTTCTCTACTTTTGGAATTGGTATTATTGTAGACGTTTTCCAACCTTTTGGACAGCAACCTTCCTTCAAAGAATTATTTATTATATCAACAAATTCCTCTTTTATTACGCAAAATACTGCCTTTAATATATCGCTAGTTATTCCCTCCTCTGTACCTTTCTTTTTCGGTAGTCCCATAACAATTTCCTGTAAATGCTCTATACCCAGCTAACCATTTGCTTGCGGATTGTTAACAAACGGCAAACAATCCCCTGTGGAACGAGGCTGCCAAATTCAGGGCCTACTGTGTCCTCGAGTGCGCCCCAAAATTTTAAATTGCAACCAATTTTGTTCCGTGTCAGCATACAATGCCTTCCTATATGCCTCATCCCTTTTAGCCGCTGCTTTTCTTATTTCATCCGAAAACAACTTTTTCCCTTCCCATATTCTCGGAATTCTTAAATTTTTTCTAGGTGCTGTAGCGTCTAACGCATTTACTATACTATCAACAAATTTCTTCGCTCTCACACTGATATTCGTATCTTGGTTTTTCTCTAATTTATTTTCCACTAATTTAATAAATTCATCTATATTAAACTCTCTATAATTCCTAACACTAAGTTCTCTGTATTTATTATCAAATTTATTCGCATTCAGTTCAACTTTAAGCCACGCATGGTCCGTTATTTTAGGTTCATGCATTACCTGCATTTCTATTTTATTATTAGCAAAAATTAAATCTATAATTGTTTTACTATCTTTCGTAATTCTCGTCGGTTTATTTACATATTGTTTCATGCCTAAGCTCAACATTGTCGTTTGTAACCTGCTTAACATTTCCCAATTCTTCTCGAACTATTTCCTTGACCATCATTTTAATTTCCTTCTTACACGCTGTTTCATTTTTTATTTCTTTTACAATTTTTACCAGCCAATCTATTTTTACGTCAATAGTCGATGATCCACTCGCTCCTGATAATCTATTTCCACTACTTGGCGTTGTAAACGAACCTGTAGATCCTGTAGATCCTAGCCTGTCCCTGCCGCTCCCGGCCACTGCCGATGCCTTCTTCATATCTGCTTCACTTTCAATTGTAAATCTGTCAAATGGCCCAGAACACGGTACCAATTCTTGATTTTTATTGTAAATCCTATGCTTGCTTACACATCCAGGATGGTAAAACAGCTGAATACAATTCACCTGATAGCAAGACTTGCATGTCACCACCTGATTTTTTATTGTCTTTTTACATGCCGAGCATCGATATTCAGCATATTCATCGTCCATGCCGATAATTATCGGCCGAAACCGCTAATATCAGCGTAAGCGATCAGTCACCTCTGTTCCACTGTCACACGTCAGCACTTTTGTGTCCACCTTTAATGTCTACCTGTCGTGTGAGACTTTGGTGTCCCAGACAGGAAATGCACTTCTCACGCCCACAAATCAGCATATCCCGGCTAGATAACACTCATGGCTAATGCCGGTCTATGCCGCTATGACTTGAATAACTTTCTATCACTCCCCGTAACTATTTAACCGTTTAAAAGTTATTACTTTTGCGGAGCGATGTTTGACACGTCTTGAGAGAGAGAGAGAGAGAGAGAGAGAGAGAGAGATATTAAAAAATAGTAAAAAAATTTAATCCGACATCTCAAATTTTCTGAAAGATACAGCGTGTATAGACATTTCTAAAAAAATTCAAAATTTTGTAAAAAATGAACCCTTTCACCGATACTCACCAAATTCAATACCAACCATCCTTGAATGATACTCTATCCATGTAAAAAAAATTTAACCCGATATCTCAAAAATTGCGGAAGTTAGAGGTTGTACAATATATTGCGTACATACATACATACATACATACACACATACATACATATAATATATAGCAATATATGTATGTATGTATAAAATTTTCGTGTTTCGCCAAAAAGTAATATTTACCTGATAACGTAATGATTTCGATGGGCTGCCCAGGGTGTCTTCGCGAAGGTGCTGCTGTAGGCTCTTCTGCGGGACGTTTTCTTCGCATTGATTCGGCTCCTATATTCGAAATGGCCAGCATATCTATTTTAACAAAAATAAAAATTTTATTAAAATAAAAATTAAAAATTTACTACATTTTTTGTAATTGTTATTATAAGCGAAATATGTATGTATGTATGTATCCTTTATTCGTCCCCAATGGGGTTTGAAGGTGTTTTTTAGGAACGTACCCAAACCTTTACACTCCTCTACCTTCCTCTACATTTTCTATCCTTATTTAAACTCGACCTGTAGCGGGATTCTCTAACATCTTAGCGACGATTGTCGCTATCGCTAGTTATCAATTTTTGTCGCTTGCGCGACCGACGCTGTCGATGCGGCGTGATTCTGTAACTTAGCCTTAACGATATCTATCGATGCAAGATTCGTTACTCAGCGTATCGAAACAATTCAGTAAATCTGACAACGTTGCAGTTTTTCGCCAGTAAAAATCTAGTTACTTTCAACAGAATTTACGAACGCAGACGAAAATGGAGCTGCAATGATGTCTTTATCTCTCCTCTTCCTCCTCGCTCTCCTCCTTTGTCGCCTCCCTTACTCCTTCTACCTCTTCTCTCTTTCCTTTGTTCGGTCCCTACGAGATTACGAGATGGTTGTCCGATTTGACTCCTGTCAAATCTTACTTCTAGTTTCTATACTCAGTTTAAAATTAAGTGATACTTATTAGATAATAATTGATTAATAGATAATAATTGTATTAACTGTAATATTTTCACATAATTTATAGCAAACAAACTATTTCTTACCTCAATGAATATAGCTTGGCAATAAATTCTCCAATACTTGAACTACTTTCTCCATTACTCGTATTTTATCCGCATCGTTCACAGCCTGTACTTCTGCGTTATTTGCCAATTTTGTAGCAGCTTTGGCCATTTCTGCCATGGCATGGGCATTTATTGTAGCTGCTTCTGCATGAGCTTTCGAGGCCTCGGCAAGCATCTAATATTTGAGAAGATTACAATATAATCATATCGTACGTCTTAGAAAAATTATACCAACTCCAATTACAGTCTGGTTTTCGAGATTTTTCTCTTACCATCATAGCATCGGCTTGCTTCTGAGCAATGCATTCAAACTGCTCCTTCGACGAATGAAACTGCTCAGATCTTCCTACACGATTTGCTACAATTTTATAAAAAAACATTATAATTAATAAATAATAAAAGTACTATAAAAAAGGCGTTTTATAATGTTATTGTACAAAAATTTAAAAAAATTTTGTTTTCAATTTTCATACAATAACACTATAACATTATTTATATTCTTATTACATCTTCTCGAAAAGACCGATGAACTGATGTTGCGATTAGTACTCGGTAGATCCGATGGCTTGGAAGCAGGAAGTACACGTAAAGTACACTTTCTTTTCGCCTGTCTCTCATTAACAATTTTGTCGACATTTTGTTGTACGGGAATGTTCTCGTTGTCGGATGCATTTCCATCAAATACAACATCATCAATCGTAGCGATGTCGATGTCGGTATCCAAGAAATTAACTGTGAATAAAAAATATATTACAATTAATGTTAATAAGTAATGTATTAATTATTTATTACAACATAATCCACTTTTTCTATGACATGCATGGTCCATCAAAACACTTAACCTGCTTGTTGTTAAATCTTCGGAAATTTCTTTGACTTGGATATAATCGATAATTATTTATAAATCAAAACAATAATGATAATTTTATGAAAATTGTTCAATATATTCATTTTTATTTTAACATTAATTTATAATAATAAAAATGTCTACCTCTATCTTCGTTCGAAGTTTGCGGGTCTTCTTGCAAGTTTTCTTGTGGAAGAGTATTGTAAACGTTTATTACTCGTGGGGCATTCGTTAATACTAACGAATTTCCACGGATTAGTTCGTTTTGTAAAGACTATAAACATGGAGAAAAGGCATATATTATGTATTAGGCCATTATACTTCATTATATAGATAGATAGATCATAGTAGCTCATCTCATTATATAACATTCGTTATTGTCAGACTAATTCTTTAAATTGTTTTAATTAATTATAAATATTCCATATATAATAATTCTACAATAGATAATTACAAAACATATACGGGTATATAAATATATATACCTCCTCTTCCGGAATATTTTCAGCACAATCTTTATTTCCTTCAATATATTCTGCGCCGACTATCCCAATAACCCGCAGTTCTATTTCGGATAATTCTGCAGATTGCTTGATTGATTTGTTTCCGGTCATCGCCTTAGCCCTTCTCAAATCGCGTGCCTTTATAGAAGTGCGACTTTTCAGGTCTCTCCACACCTAAGCATAAAAAATTACTTTTTATTTTATTTGTGTCAAGTATATATATATATATATATATATATACTTGACACAAATAAAATAAAAAGTAATTTTTTATGCTTAGGTGTGGAGAGACCTGAAAAGTCGCACTTCTATAAAGGCACGCGATTTGAGAAGGGCTAAGGCGATGACCGGAAACAAATCAATCAAGCAATCTGCAGAATTATCCGAAATGGAACTGCGGATTATTGGGATAGTCGGCGCAGAATATATTGAAGGAAATAAGGATTGTGCTGAAAATATTCCGGAAGAGGAGGTATATATATTTATATACCCGTATATGTTTTGTAATTATCTATTGTAGAATTATTATATATGGAATATTTATAATTAATTAAAACATTTTAAAGAATTAGTCTGACAATAACGAATGTTATATAATGAGATGAGCTACTATGATCTATCTATCTATATAATGAAGTATAATGGCCTAATACATAATATATGCCTTTTCTCCATGTTTATAGTCTTTACAAAACGAACTAATCCGTGGAAATTCGTTAGTATTAACGGATGCCCCACGAGTAATAAACGTTTGCAATACTCTTCCACAAGAAAACTTGCAAGAAGATCAGCAAACTTCGAACGAAGATAGAGGTAGACATTTTTATTATTATAA